AAACTATTCAACTTTATTTTATCTTAATTTAAATCACTTAAAACTGTTTATAATTTCATGATCTTAATTTTTCACTTGTCAAAATATTTTTTCACAATTTAAAAATTATTTTTAAGATCATCTACATCAAACGACTAACTTGGAAGTCATCTAGACGATTTTCATCAGGTCAGACGATTTACTGGATCTATATTCGTAAAAATGTATTTTTTTGTCACAAGAGACTGGATGAAATTTCTCAAGGCTTTTAGGTTAATTTTGTATTTAATTTAAGTTTGGATATAATTTTTAATCAAAATCATGTTTTGAGTCACATTTGCAAATCCTCAAATAAATATATAAATATGTTTATTTAAAAAATATTTTCCTTTTTGTCAAAAAATAAGCTAAAAATATCTACCAAATAATTCACATTTAGTTTTAGAAAAACTTATAAAAGTATATTATAACATGCAAAAACATAAAAATATTATATTAAAATTTCAGAATTATTTTTATCCACGAAGAGTACTTCGCAGACAACTTATATAATCAAACATTTTGATTGAGCGGCAATCAAACATTTTGATTGAGCGGCTATTGTTAAGAACATAATTAGTGTGGAACACTGGAATTCTCACAAGAGTACTCAAAACTTATATAATCAAACATTTTAATTTAGTACTTTGAAAAGTGATTTTCATCTCCTGATGACATCCCTTCAATAAAAAGATACATAGAATTTGAATTTTTTTTTTAACAAACGAGATATTTTGTTTGGGAACTCTCTATTAGAATTGTTCCTTCTTTGAACTGTTTCTTCTACCAAGAAAAAAAAAGATTTCTTCTACAACTATAGTAATGTCTCACATGATTTAATAATTAGAATTAGGTAAAATATATAATAGAAATCAATCTCTTGTTTGATAAACTAACACCACATGGTATTTGTGTAATAGTTCAATTATTCTGAAAAACAGTTATGAAACTAAATTTTAATATTCACATAGTTTCTATCATTAATAATGCCCTAAAACTGCATCAGTCGATTATGATGGGTACATTCTCGATTATAATGGGATGGTCATATGTTGAATCTTTTTTTTACCCAAAAAAAATTGTTGAATCGTTTTACATTTGATATAAATGTAGATAGAAAGGAAATTAGATACCATACATAAGAGCAATAATGATCTCTGTCCGTCGTACCACATGTCATGGCCATTAGCGTAATCATCAAATTTAATGTCAAGAAGTATATGTAATTTCATTATTTAATCAGATAAGCAGTGATCACACAAACTACCAATTGAAATAAACTACAGATTAAATAATTTTAACCTGTATCAGTCAAAAAAAAATAAAAAAAATTCAACCTGTAATAAGATTGCTTATATAGGTAACCAATAGTTTTGCATTTTTCTACTACATTTAACAGGGCATGTCCTAATTTTTATAAAAACATATCAAAGGAAAACAAAACTACTTTATTTATATAAGATATATATATATATATATAATAACAAAATTGGATTTGTATAATGATGAAGAAGCATTGGGAGAGGACGAGATTCTTGTGTAATTTGAAAAGATTGTCCTCTACCATATCATTATAATTTTCTTTACAAATGAACTAAAATTGATTAAAATTTAATTCAAATAATGAAAGAGAATTTGGTAAGTAGTCAGCATTTGCCGACAGGAAATTATGTCTTACCACCAGAATACCAAATCAATAATTCCAACTACTTTTTTGAGGTCGTCACTCTTTACTTATTTCTTTGGCGTCTATGCAATTTTTATATTCTTTTTTCGATTCAGATATTTCATTTAAAATGTAATAGTGCAATTCCATAACATTAGGTTTGTAGCTAAAATTGCAAAAATATAATAAAATAAAAATGTTTAACATTTCTCAAATTTATAAACTATTGGACTTCTTTTTAAGAAAGTCACCGTCTATTTTAATTTTAATAATTACTCGAAAAAATTAAGGAAAAATAATTTTTTTGACAAATTAATGTTAAAAATAAAAAGAGATACGTTTGCTTACCACAGCTACACAAACAGTGTTTAATCAAACAGCCTTAAACAATAATTTATTAAAATTCCAATTCTTTTGAACCAAATAAAAATTGAATAGTATTTTAAACAAAAAAAAAAAACAGTTTAACCTAGCAAGAAACCACAACAACGTTTAGAATATTTTTATATTTTATAAATTTTAGTTATTCTAAAAATATACCAATATTTAAACACTGAAGTTGGTAAAATTATTATAAAATAATATGTTTTTAGTTTGGTGAAACTCTTGGAAATGGATTAAACCATGTAATATGTATTCTTCTTTAAAATTATACGACACAACAATATAATACTTAACCATTCTAAATAAATATATATTCTTATTTGAAATTTATTTTATCTAAACAGTTTTAAATTATAATTTTATATTTTTAAAAATCTACTCTCAAATATATATTAAGGCTGGTGTTGTTTCTTTAATAAAACATTATTTATTTTATCTCTTAGTTGAAAATGAAATATGGATTATAAGGTTTATCAATAACCGTATACATAGTTTGTATAATATTAATTATTATTTTTTAAAAATATGATATTTAAAAGCATAAAATTCAATAAAAATCTCTTTAAAGTTGTATTATTTGTGAGAAGTGTTCAGTATTAATTTATTTGAATAAAGTGTAAACACTGTGATAATTTGTGTTTTTAGTCAAAATATTTTCTGTAGATGTATGAGTTTTGAATTTTCTTGAGATCAACAGCTAATGGAGGTGGGTAAGGTGAATCTAATACCAATCAAGTATAAAGTTTGCAAGACAAAAATAAAGTGTATTCTTTTTCATAATAATATGCCGTTTGTGGGGTATAATTATTGATATATACTTTTGGGTTTTTAACTCCTCCTTTGGGCAAGTAAAAATGAATAATTGATGAATAGTTTAAAAGCAATCCAATTTGTTTGCACTCAATAACAATTATTTTCGCCACTTGCAAATTGATAGATTAGTAATCACCGGTTGAAAATCATCAATACTCTTATGATGAACAATATAGATACATACATATTTGTAAGAAAATGGTTGTTGACAAGGCATTGTCATACAAAAAAAGGAGTACTTAGATCCATATTACTATATATTTGTCTGGCAAATACCATCCAAATGAATGTGTTTTTCTTTACATTCTTCTAAAGATTCATTATTTTATTATTTGTATTGTTATTGGTGGTTCTGTTATTACTTCATTTGTGTAGTTTCACTTTAAATGTCGAGTGAGTCTAGTTATGACATTTTCATCACTAGAATTTCAAAGTTCACTGATAAAGCTCATGGTGGTTAGATTTGCATATCAAAAGATATACAATAACTAAAACTTTTTCAAACAGCAGTTCTTGACTTTTTTATTTCTTTTACTACAATTCAGTACAAGAGCATAACATCATGGGTTTGCGCAAAAAATAAATCTAGAAATGATCGTATATAGTACAAATCACGAGCTTGGGTTAAAAGGACAAAAGACTTGACCTTTTTAACCATTCACAACAAAACAAATTATGGGTAAACCACGTACACATTGTGCTACAAGATCTACAAGAATCGAATCTTTGAGCTTTATCCATAAAAACCAAATCAAGTTTTTGTAACCCCCAAACCAACAACTTAGGCTGGCCATTTTATCCGTTAAATTTGATTCGATTCGTTATTTATTTCAATTCGATCCGAAATTTCGGATATTCGTAAACTTTCAAATCAAAGCAAATACTAAAAATCAATATCTGTTAAAATCGAAGCAAATCACAAATACTAAAATTTTGGGAAGCGGATATCCGATCCGACCCGGAAATATATAAATATATGTATATCTTGATTATATATAAAATTTTAAATGTATAAAATTATATAATTATTATTTTAGCACATGATTTTGAACAATTCAATTCACATTATTATTTATATAAAAATATTACATAAAATGAGAGAAAAAGTTATAATTGTAACTTAAACTTAAATTATTACAAAATATGTAAGTTCACTAAATCCTTTAATATTTATTTTATATATCATGCAAAAAAAATATTTTTGCAAAATAATTTTGTATCAAAATTTGAAGATTATTTGTATTAATCAAAATGGATGAGATATCCGTAAATATTTGTAAATATCCGCAAATATCTATTTATTTTTCGGATATCCGTATTTTCGAAACAAAGTAAATACCAAAATTAGATATTCATAACATTTGAATCAAATCATAAATATCTTGGAAATTTTGGATATCCGATCCGTGGCCATCCCAACCAACAACAAACAAGGTTTTGGATTTTGGGTCTAAGCTTTTAAGTTTTAAGATTGTTATTCTGCGTCAACAGTTTCACTTTCACTACTTCAATACAACATCAAAAAGCTATGATTTTGATGCAAGAACCTCCCACTAAACTTGCTTTCCTTGTGGGGATCCACATATATATATATTCTTCTTTTTTGATAAATGTTGTAAAAGGAAAAAATACTAGGGTAAATTGATAGTTAGATAAATCATAATCATATGGGAAGTGAAAGTGAAAACCCCGGTTACTTTCTTGGATAACAAAAAGGGTTATATCTTTTGTCGTCGACATCAAGAGTAACTATCATGTTATGAACTTATGATGGAGAAAGAACGTGAAAGTTCAAATTTTAAAAGGGTTTTTAATCCAATTTCTTGAAATGGAAAGACATTGGTTTCAGTCATGATTAAAGAATATTAACGCTAGTGAAAAAAGAACAAAGGAGACAGAAGAAAGCGATCATTACAATGTCCTATAGAGACGATGAAGCTGTCGTTGAATCTTCTGCTAAGGACATTAATGTTCTTAACTACAAGGTTTGAGCTCTTGAACCAACATATTGATGATTTAGACACGACAAGAAACCTAAACAGAAGTCATTTGACGTTACTTTTCATCACTATTCAAGCCAAATCTTTATATGCAGAAACACAAAAATTTTAAATGGTAATATGATAAAACAAGAAGTTTACAAGAATCACTTGTGTTTATGAATTCCAAAACCACTCTCAAGATCATTGTCACAGTCGAAAAGACACCGAAAAATCGCCTAAAATTAATTGAAATCGGTTAAAGAAATACAATGATGGTGCCAAGTACAAATTGAATTTAAAGGTAGTAAAAACAAAGAACTCAAGTAATCCTACAAAATGGGCCAGGTTCTAATGAAAAAGAAGTAAAAATTAACAAGTCACACTGAGGATGTGTCAATGAGAACATCATTTAGCACATCATCTTCACCATTAGCCATAGTGAGAAGCTCAGCATCTTTCTCTTCATCATTGGAGAAATCTCGCCTTTCGAACTTCGAATTGGCTGATATAAAAACTAGCTTTTGAGCTCGATCCATCGCTGCACGCGATGATCGACCATGAGAGTTTACCCATCTCAAAAGAGAAGAATTGCATTTGAACCCACAAGAAGTTGCATGAAGGAAAATAAGCCTAACAGCAACTCTCCCCAATGACCTGAACTCACTAAGATAAGTTTCCCAAACAAGCCTACTGCTTTGTGGATTAACTATCCTCATTTTCCCTGAAACAGGATCTCTCTCCTTCATCTGAACAGCCCTAGCATAGTCCGGATCAAGCCCTTCCGTTCTCCATTTCATCAGTTCCATCATTGCAATATGGGCCTCGTCTCTAGACACAAGCCTTGTTATCAACTTATCAACATCTTTCTCTTGCTCTGGTGACAAGCATTTGAATGGAGGAAGATACTTTCCGGAGCTGTCTCTTATCAAGTAAAGTGGGTCAAGTATAAACGCTGCAGCCCAAGCCGGGTGATAACACTTGTTGAATCTTCTCTCAACGATCTTCTCAACTTGATTATCTTCAGTTACATTAAACTTAACGTACCAATCTTTTATCTTTGATCTTAACTCCTCCCAAAGCGGCAAACATTGCCCTATTAAAGGCCTCTCTTCCTCTATTCGTCGAGCCATTTCTTTAACAAGCTTCAACAACGAATAAACCGCTTCGACCTCGTTCCAAAACCCAACATCCCCAACCATTTCAGCCACCTCTCTAACCAAATGATCCTCCATAACAACAACCTTACAAGCATCATCTTGCATCACCAGCTGAACCGCTCTAGCCGAGTTAAGAACATCCTCAAGGAGACTAAACAACGGCTCGAACGAGGAACATTCAAAAGGCAAAAACAGTAGTCTAGCTTCTCCTTGCTCTTGCAACTGATACTTACACAGCAAGTTTCTCATCTGCGCCGTGCTGTTCACGAAACCTACAAGCTTAGAGCAACTTCTCGAGACGGATTTGAACAAAGGAAGATCTTTAATAAAATCTTTAATCAAACTATTGAACCCTTGAAACTGACAAGAGAGGTTAACCATCCACTGATACTGCCCCTCGAGATTCCTCAACGCTTTACTCATAAACCTATCCGAAACAATGCCAACACACCTCTGAGGTGAATTACCACAAATACCCCTCACCGTCTCCCACATAACCTCCTCCGCATAGTTAGACGGAACAGCTCCGTTAACAAACAGAGCTCGTCTGTACAAACTCGTCCCGTTAGGTAAATTCACAACCAAGCTCACCAGTTTCTCGCCGGAGCTTTTATACTTCCACCCATCGGAAGCGAGCTGGAAGAACATCGCGTCGTTGATCCTCGTCTCACCCTCCGCTCTCGAGCCCTCGTACCTCGAATCCAACCTTCCGGTGACGAACTCTCTCCGCGACACGATCGGTAACCCGACTTGCGTCAGAAAAGCTCTCAGCTTCGGATGCTCGAGACCAGACAGAGAGACAGAACCGCAAGATTCAAACACCCAATCGGAGAGAGAGACAAGAGCAGAGTCTATCTGCCCTCTGCTCAGCTTCTGCGTCTGCGTGGGGCTTTTGAGCTTCTTCACACTGTTCTCAAGCATAGCCAAAGGACCAAGATCGTCTTTTCCACCGGAGAGCATCAAATGCGGCTGAGACGCCGCCGGAAAGTGCAAGTACCTCGCCGGATCAACGACGGTGAGAGGCGCCACGTGGTAAGACCCCCGGTGAAGTTCGACGGAGCTTCCACCGGAGGAGTTACGTTTCCGACTAGCCGGAGCTCCCGGCGGCGGCGGCGGCGGAGGAGGAGGAGGGGAGGGAGAGATTGTGGAGATGGGTTTGGGAGAAGAGTTGAAATTGGGGCAAGTGCCGCGTTTGAGATGCTCGGAGGCGGTGCGGGAAGGGTTGGAGGCGGAGAAAACGGCGTCGCATAGGGAGCAGCGGAGCTTGACGGCTTTAGGGAGGTTAGTGTCGGTGTTGTGTAGTAAGATTGGTTCGAGATGAGACCAGTACCACGCGCCTTTGCCTTTTATTGCTTTCGCTCTCACCATCGTTAATCCTTCGTAACGCTTCTGTAACGCTTTGGACGCTGATTCTTCTGGTGACTGTAATGGCGGTGGTTGCGGTGACTGCGGTTGAGTCGCGTTGTTCGTGGTTGTTGTTGACATTGTAAGTCTATGATCAAACCAAACTCCTTCGTTTTTTATTATGAAAAATGTTTTAAAAGAATGTTAAATATTAAAGAAACTCGCCGGTGGCCGGAGGTAATCGGAGCTCCGGTGATATCTCATGGTGGAGTTCAGACCCAAGAAGAAAGATTTGTTTTTTTAATCTCTCTCTCTCTCAGCTCTCACTGATCGTTTCTTTGATTTCTTTAAAGAAACTGAGAAAATTCAAAGAGAAGAAAGACAGGAGAGAGTAGGAGATAATAAAAGGAAGGAAATGTTTTGAAGCACACGCGTTGTGGGAAAGCGCGTGGAGTGAAAATGTAACATTGAAGGGAACGTTTGATAGGAACAAGGTTGAGACCAGAGTCCCCACGTCGTACGAGAAGGAAACAGAGCATTGGATGTTTAGACTTTCTCACATTTCTCTCATTGGTACGTGTACTTCACGTGCTCCATCAACGTTTTTTCTTTTACTTATTAATTATTTAAGCAACTTGATTTGAAAAGAAAAAAATTATTCACTTTTTGTTTTCAATTTTTTTTTGGATGTCTCTCTGCTTTCATCTATTTTATTTTGGTTCTTATTTTTTAGGTGAATTGTTGGGTTCTTGTGTGGAAGAGGTCTTCGTCTGTTTCCTCTTTTCCTTAATTTAATACTTTTTATCTATATACTTTCAATATAATAATAATTTATACTATTATATAGTATCAACTATCCACGTAATCAAATTTGGTATCTTAAGAATTTTGAAATGGTATAATTCGTGTTGTGAACTAACCAGTAACCACCCATATGATTATAGTTTTAGGGAAATCATTCATGACGTAAGCATAAACAGCAGGTTCACAAACTTAGTACAAAATCATTAAATTGTTTAAAGTAAATAATTGTGTGAAAGTGTTAATAAATGTGTGATAGATACGATTTTTTGGTTAATTTAATAGATTATACACTCATTATTATTATTATAAAAAGGAAAAAATACAAGAATGATGAGTTGGGGTTTTCCATTTGTGTCTTGTTGTCTATGTGGGATATATTCAGAATGTGTGCATAAAAGGGCAACCTATGAATTTAATTTGTTTCTATAGAGACTGTGTCTGTGACTGAGAGAGTGTATGTGTGTGTCTGTGTGCTGTTGACCAAAAGGACATTCCCTAGTAAATAATTATTACTTCTAAGTAAAAATATATATTGGATTTTATATGGTGAAAACAATAACTGTACACAAACTAGTATAACTGCATTTTAATGAAATATTTGACTTCTTACTCACTCTTTCCCAAAAACCGACTTTTTTACTCTCCTTTTTACTGTCTTGTGTGGTATACGTGAGTGTCATGGCCGTTACAACACTCGTTTCATGTTTTTTCTTCGTTGTTCTCTTAACTGTATTTTCTTGTCTGTAAAGTTTTTTTTTTTCTTGTCTGTAAAGTTATTTACCCAACCTTTTCTTTTTCAACTTTTCTTATACTTATCCTACATATACTCTACTTCTGCTAGGTTATAAAGTTATGTTTTATCTATATATAGTGGAATCTTTTTGTTTCTAATAAAGATATGTAGTGGAATTTTGAACATAAGTATGCAAACAATAACTTATACTGTATATGTTATATGTACTCAATACATTATTCATCACAAATTTTTCTGGTCTAGGGCGCTATTTTGAATGCAACATGTAGTGGAATTTTGAAAATAAAGATTTTTCTGGTCTAGAGCGCTATTTGTAAATTGTAGCGTGAATATTTATTTATAGTGAAATCTCTGTAAATTAATAATGTTGAGACTACACCAAAACTATAATTTTGTATTAATTTATAGAGATTATTAATTTATCGATATACTAATTGAACAAAAAACTCAGTTTGAGAATATAAATTATATTAATTTATAGAAATATTTAATGTATATCAATCTATATAGTATTAATTTATAGAGATTATACTGTATATAAACGTTGTCTTAATTTAAGATTATTTTTAGATTTTATGTAATTCATACAAATTAGGTACCAACTTATCTCTTGACTATTTTATAACCAGTGATATCCATTTATCTAGATTACTAACGCACTGATTTATCAGATACCAGTCTCTCAAACACATTGAACCGAATGCCTTCATAAGATCTATAAAATATGAGAAAACAGTATCAGTTATTATTTTTAATTGGCTAATCTCTTCAGGAAAAGATATATAATATGGGAGAAATAAATATAGAAAAATCAACTAAAATAAAACGACAATTAAAGTAAACAAGTGGAGATTAGTAGTACGAGTCGAGATTTAATTGGTCATTGTCATAATGTCAGTATAGCCACAAGTCACACCTGTCTCCCACCTTCTTGTGTACGATCGTATAATGCACTTATACGATCGTTTAGTCAAAAAGACATATATCGTACTATAGTATAAATAGACGACCCCAAGTATTAAATATATATTGTTCTTAATTTGAAATAATTGTGTTACATACCATCCGCAAGAATCTGGAGATTATTTTATAAATCTGTGTTTCTGTAGATTCTCTAGGGACATTCACCTAATAGTCGATTTTTCATGTAGTGACAACTATTTACTAATTTATGACTGAAATGTTGTTACGTATTAAATGTTATACTTGCAATAGTTAACTTTGATCTTAGAGTGTTCCACCATAACTTGCTTATAGATTTTAACATGAATTTTTCAAAGTTTTTGAGAAATTCTCTTCTTAAATATCAATAATTGGTGATAGACTCATACTAAGATATTATCAGTGCGGATGTTTTACGACTATGGAGTAAATGAGTTAGTGGAAATGATATTTTTGGAAAATTTTAAATGTTATCTGCTGGTTGAATACCAAAAACATTGGTGGGTTTAGTTTCTTTTAACTTGATTTAAAACCGAACTCATGCCCAGAACTGATCAAAGCTTACGTTTATGTAAGAAACAAAGCCCATTAGGCCCATTAAAAGAGAATCACTAGGGTTTATTAAGAAGAGAAAAGAGGAAGGAGGCGGCGACTAACTGTGCTGATCTGATCTCTCATCTTAGACGAAAAAAGAAAAAGAGAGAAAAAATGGACGCGAGCATGATGGCTGGACTCGAGGGTCTTGGTGCAGAAGACCAAGCAAAAATGGCCTCCATGATCGATCAGCTTCAGCTTCGTGATAGGTTCGTCTTCTAACATCTCTTCTTTTTTAGGTAGAAACTCGGCCTGTATTGATCTATATATAGTAGTTTTTATTGTTCTGTTCCGTTTTTTTGTCTTTTTCCTGTCTGAAACTTAGAAAAAGCTTCACATGATTCTTTTTTCGCAACCAGCTTTGAAAACATTTAGCTTGTTGTCTGAAACTGAAGCTGATAAGAAAAAGATCTCCTTAAAACCAGTGCAGCTAATTAAACACTGCGTCTGGACGTTAATGGAACAACATTTTATGCAATCGGTCTGTCTTGATTTGTTTTCTTGTTTGCTAGACCGTAACTTTGTTGCTTAACATTTTCAGCTTGAGAATGTACAATTCGCTGGTGGAGAGGTGTTTCGTGGACTGTGTGGATTCATTTACGCGCAAGACTCTGCAGAAACAAGAGGAGACTTGTGTGATGCGATGTGCTGAGAAGTTCCTCAAGCACACAATGCGTGTAGGTGCACGGTTTGGTGAGCTCAACCAGAACGCACCAACTCAAGACTGATGATGTCTACTTGTGTTGGTTTGGTTTTTTCGTCCGGTTTATGTGTTGGAACCCAGAATAAACCGGTTTTTAGTGGTTCAGACAACTACTACTCAATACTACTGTTCTTTGAGATTGATAATACTCGTGTATTTTTAAGTTATTTTGTATCTGATTTTGAAGATATGATTTGCATTTCAATGGTGATAATGTCTATGACTTATCATTTTATATTTTGATTTTTCTAGTGACCGAACCGGTACATAGAGGTTCATTGCCTATTCGGCTCTTCCCCTTTCTAACCATTATAGGAACATTAACAATGAATAGAAAAAAAAAAGCAGAAAAAAAATATATAGGAATGATAAAATTGTAAGAATGATGAAGAATTATTATTTTTTATTCCTTATATATAAATAGAAATTTTTGTAGGAATATTAGAGCATCCGCAACCGTGAGACTCATAAGAGTCCTTAAGGAAAATGTATTTCGGATTTGGTAAGGATATTTCAAATTATTATTTTTTTTTTTTTTAAAATGACCATTCGCAGGCTGTCACGTGTTTTGGAGACCCGCAAATAGTGTAAAGATTCGATAAGAAACAGTCTTTATATATGGATTCAGATTTTAAGGATCGAATCTTTAACTTTTTATGGAATCTATCGATTATTTAATTATTGTTTTCCTAAAGGATTCCCATTACGGATGCTCCTAAATTATTCCCTGTCATTCTTTGCTTTTTACAAAACTTTCTCCTAAAACATGCAACTTCATAACTAAACCTCTTCAAATAATACTTTTTCTTTTTGAACGAATTGTCTAGGAAGAGAACTAAAACCTCTTCAAATTTGAACCGTTTTAACCGGCACCGGTACAATCATTATAAATCAATTGATAATAAAAACGAGTTGAAACCGGGAATATATTCACTCATTTGGTAAATAGAAAGAAAAGTCAAAAAGACAGAAAGTCTCGTACCTTCTTCCACACCAGTTCCGATCAGAGAAACTCTCAAAAGAAAAAGACACAGAGACGAGAGTGTTAGGAAATTTCCGACAAGAAACTTAACTCTGTTCGTCATAGGATCTCTACGATCCAGAAGCTTCAAAATAGAAGAAGCCGAATAGATCCAAGGTAGTTGTTGTGCCGTAGTAGGGAGAGAGAGATGGGAGATGTATGGACGTGGATCATTTCATTCCTAATCCTTATCACTCTTGTCGGATTAATCGTTTACCAGGTTCGATCCCATTCCCCAAAACTTTGGTTCTTTCGAATCTTCTTTTACCTTAAACGGTGAAACAAATGGTTTCTTGTTTTCTTGCAACATACAAGTCCAATGTAAAAATTCAAGGTTTAATTAAATTTCTTTAATTTTGTTGATGAATATTGTGTTCCTGAATCTCTAGATGTCCTTGCTTGATAAAAATGAGCTTTGGTTAGGTTGAAAAATGGAGTTAAGCATTGGCCATTTTTTTATTATATATTTGAGTCTTCATGCTTTTGTGCTTTGTTTGAAAACTGACACTGCTTATGGATGATAACTATGAACCTTTTGTCTGTTTTGGGCTTGCAGCTTATATGCTTAGCTGATCTGGAGTTTGATTACATCAACCCTTATGACTCTGCATCAAGAATAAACTTTGTGGTACTACCAGAGTTCATTCTTCAAGGCTTCCTATGTTTCTTTTACCTCGTAACCGGTCACTGGTTCATGGCACTACTTGGTGTTCCTTATCTCTACTACAACTTCCATCTGTGAGTCTATCTCTCTCTCTTTGACTTTTTTTTTGGAGAAAGTTTAATACATTCTGATGTGAAAGAGTATATGTTTGTTTTATATGTTAGTTACTCGAAAAGACAGCATTTGGTAGACGTGACAGAGATCTTCAACTTGCTTGATTGGGAAAAGAAGAAACGGCTCTTCAAGCTTGCCTACATGATCCTTACTCTCTTCCTCACCATTTTCTGGTAAATAAATAACCTCAAAAATCGTAGGAAAGAAATCAGATTAGTAACAGACAGTTTTTAACTTATGTTTCAACTTATTGTCTTTTTAAGGTTAATCTATTCAACACTGGATGATCACGAGGACTGAAGGGGCGGCAAGGCGGCAACACACAACCGCCATGTGACATGAAAAGAAAGGTTTATTACTGAGTAATGTTGTTAGTGTTTGTTGTGGCATTTGTGTTACAAGATTTTACACAAGATTTTTAGTCTGTAGTGAAACATTCTGATCTAATGGAAGCTGAAACCCTCTTCCTTGTTTGGAGGTTTTCTTTTTGTTTAGCTGCATATTAATAAGTTCTAAACAAAATTTAACAAGTTGTTAATTTGTATTGAAGCCTGAATGACATAATAAGTAAGAATGTTAAATCTTGTTGTGTGGTGGATGCATGCATCTCAGATCAAAGGGAAGAATTAGGATGGGTCTTAGACTCTTACATGGCCACGATAACATTGTTTCCCTTAGAAGCAGAAGCAGTTCTTATGACAGTACAAGAACTAAAAAGGCTATGATATAGAGAAGCTACTAACTAAGCTATTTTGTTAGAGCTAAGGAAGATGATGAAACTGGGATATGATCCCAACGTTGTCACGCTAAACTCGCTGCTCAATGGTTTCTGTCACGAGCATAGGATCTCCAAGGCTGTATCTGGTGGAAATGAATTATATACTGAACACAGTAACATTTTACAACTCTAATCCAACTCTCGACTACTAAGAGAGATGATGCTCCTTGCAGCCAAAAGGATTTGTTGAATTCAAATAAATCAACAAGATTTGTGGTTTTATTTTTTCATTTTCAAAATGAGTTTTTATAAGACAATATTTTGACAATTACACCACAACAATTTTTTTTTATAATGCTACAAGGAGAAAGTGAAACAAGAGTAATAAAAAATATTAGACAAACAGTTTATCTGCTCGTCTCTCTTCTCTCCATTCATTGTAAACACTTGCAATGTAATCTTCAATCCTACTCGTCAAGGTATCATCATCATCATCATCACCCTGCCCATGATCATCATCATCATGGTTTTCAATACCATCTTCACTCCACTGGCTATAATCTTCATCATTATTCCATAAATCACCATCATAATCAACTTCATGATAACCACCATAATAACTAAAACAATCATCCTCATCACCATAGCAATATCTTGTGACATAACAACAATCTTTGTTTTTGTCTATGGTGCAACTACCAAGCATACAATCTACGGTTTCTTCATAAACAGAGTGATTACTATTAATGATAAACAAGAAAAGGATCAAACCGAGGAAGAAGAAAATAAGGAGAGGGTTTGGTGGAGTTGGAGGATTATCGAAAAATCTCAAGAAGAAAAAGAGCATTACTGTTGAAAGAGTTGTTCTCCATATGATCTCCATGCCATTGATTATAGCGTTGAACATTTTACTCTTGTTTCTATCTATATAAATACAAGATGAGTAGCTTTCAAGGAAAAACAGAGTAACTTTCCGGGAATACACCATGAATTTTGCTGAGATAGATGAGTGGAAAAGTCTGTTGTGTGAAGTTATTGTAAAACTTCCAAGCACAATGTTATAATATTCAAAGTTTAAGTTATTATAGAGTACTTATGACTGTTTCTTGCACAAGTTATTGCAATGTGTGTAGGTGTAATTATGTATTAATATATGTGTTCTTGAGAGGGAAGTTAAAGATTCTTGGAGTAGAAAATTCGGGTTTAGTAGCTATGAACATGACGGATGACAACTATGCTCATTTATCCCTCTTTTTAATTTAATATTTTAAGTTAGTTTTGTAAGAAAATCTAAGTAAAGCATCATCCATTCCTATCCATACAATTTGCCAACTCAGATTGTATTTGATATTTCTTTGAAATTAAAATGAATTTTCAAACTAGTTTAAGAAGTCAGTGTGCTTGAACAAAAAAAATGTCAACGTTTAAATTAAGAAGATACTTTATTTCATATTTCTAGATAGTAGTATTATATCAATATGTAGAGGCAAAATTCATAGAAATACTCAATTCATGAGACAGTTGAAATGATAGTCAAGTTATAATTCAATTTCTTTTTTTTTTATGATTTATCATCCATATAAGAGAAAACAATAAATGTATAATAATAAGCTTAAATATTATATATTTAGAAACAATTTTGAAGTTTGCACAAAACAATTCTCAATGTTTTGTAGCATATCTAAGATCATTTTGATATATTATTTTATTTTTAATGAAATAATTTGCAGAAAATTGAATTAAGAGTAACTTCCCGAAAATATACCATGAATTCTGCTGAGACAAATTATTGGAAAAGGTATGCCGTGCTGAGTTATTGTAAAACTTCCAAGCACAATATTATACTATTTGATATTCTAATATTGCTATTAGACCTATGATAGTTTCTTGATTGACAAGTGATAACAATGTGTGTATTTATAATTATGTGTTCTTGAGAGGGAAGTTTAAGATTCTTTTGCTTTATTGGAGCATAAAAATTGAGTTATGATGGTGACAGTTGACAAATATGCTCATTTATCCCTGCAAAAGATTACTGCTTCTAGTTGTCTTGACAGTAGGTTGGGAGGGTTTGAAGAGAATGAGCTGATTCAAGTAATGAAGTTAGGTTTGATTTGAGCTGATCAGATATGGAATGACAAATATGCCCATTTATCTTCCATCTTTTGACATGGTTGGAGTTGATACTAGCTAGGTCTTCTTGGTTATACAAACACTAAGCAGCAACTTGATGATGCTGTTGCAGAAAAGATAATCAAATAATCAAAAATCAATGTTGAGATTTACAACTTTCACAAACTTTCCTAATACGGTTCATAACTACAGACACATCTCTCTCTGACAAATTACTGAAACAGACCCTAAACCATCCCGGTTCAATGCAATGACAACAAGATCCTGGTATTACATTGATCTTCCCAATCTTCAAGAGCTTGTTCCACAGCTCAATCTCGCCTTTCTCACTATAAGACGACATCAACCCTCTCATATCCACCCAACAGAAGAGCCCACCATTGCTTCTCGTGCACTCAATCCCCAACTCTTTCAAACCCTTGACAAGCTCTGTGTAGATCCTCATCAACCTCTCCCTGTTGGTTTTCACAAACCTCTGAACAAACTTGGGACTAGAGATCGCTGACACGAGCAGATGCTGTGTAGGAGAAGAGACTGGAGAGAGCTTTGTGAGCTTTCTTGAAGCCGATAACACATTGTCGTTGAATGAGTAGATAGCTGCGGTTCTAAGGCCAGGGAAGGATAAGTCTTTAGAGAGGTCGTAGATGATATGAACTCTCTCTTTGTCCACATTCTCCTCCGTGTCAACTACTTCAGCCATGCTAGCAAACTCTCCTCCCCCTCCTTCTCCGTGGACAGCACCAGCGAATATCTCGTTTGAGATGATGTGAATGTTCCTCTCCCGGGCAAAGTCTAAAAGAGCATAGAGATTCTCTCTGCTCAAGAGAGTCCCCGTGGGGTTCCACGGGTTTGAGATTATGATTCCACGGATTCTAACACCTCGTTTCTTGGCTTGGTAGAATGCTCGATCGAGAACAAGCATTGATATGTTGAAATTATCCGCGCTTCTACAAGGCACGTGTATGAGATCCACTCCTGTTCGCCATTTAACATCCCTATCGTATCTGTAACACAACAGAAACAAGACTCAGTATTGTCTAAACAAACAGTAGCGAGTTAGTGTCTGAAACTTTACCCCGGTGAACATGGAGTAGGAACAAGAAAGGCGTTTCCGGAATCAGCTAAGCAGAAGGAAAGAATCTCTATGGCGGAAGCTGCACCAGAAGTTAACACTAACTGTGATGGATCGAAAGAAACTGAGTTTTTGGTCGCTTCAGACATAAATCCTGCAACAGCCTGTTCATAATCCGGACAACTTATATCAAGAACTCATAAAAACAACTTACGAATACACTAATTTGTCTTAAAAATTCACTCTTGAATTTTTTTAACATTTTACCAACAAAACAAAAATTGTCTTAAAAACAAAACAAATGTCTTAAAAAGTTAAGAACTTTAGGGTTAAGAACAAACCATTTTGAGTTCCATAAGTCCATGAGAAGGTTCGTAAGAAGCAATGCCACTCATACACAACCCATCAGAGATTACTTCTCTTGGATTCTCTGAAACCCAATCATCTTCCAAATTGAACTGTTTACAAGAAACAGACACACTCAAAATCAAAAAGATCACTAAAGGTTCAAACTTTATTGAAGGGTTTTGTAAAAAGATGAAACCTTTACGTTCTGAGCTGAACCAAGCTCGATAACACCATCCGGGTTACCCGACTCATCATACGGATCTTCCTCGACCCGTTTCTGACCCACGTGGTAAGGCGAGTCACCTCCTTTAATAACAAACCCAGCCCTCCCCGAGACCGAGACAGCTCCGCCGGAGATTCTCGGCGAGAGGAGAATCCTAGAGAGGGAGCGAGGCAGAGACGTGAGCTCCGTGAGGTTTCCAACGGATTGGGACCGGGTCGGATCCGGAGAACCCGAGTTAGAATCCTCCGAATCCGGGTTTCTGTCGGGTTCGTTTTTGCGGTTGCGTTTGAGGTAAAACTGGAGGAAGTAGAAGAAAGCGCAGGGAATCACGGAGCCTAAGAAGAGTCCGCCGCGGCCTTGGACCACGCCTTGTAAGGGGACGATAACCCTCATCGCGGTGGTTCCGCCGCCGCCGCCGTTGCCGGAATTCTCGGAATCGGATTTGGGGCTCCGGTTGGGTTCGGTGCGGGTCATTATGGTGGTAGTGAGGTCAGCAGCATGTTGAGTTTAAGTGTTGAAATCGAAGTTCGGTGTGTTGTTGATTTCGGGTCGGGTTAACTGATTGTTGAGCTTGACGGCGAAGGGATTTGAGAGAGAATATGTCGATTTTTAGGTAAAACGGAGAATGGATTTTTTTTTTTTTTTTTGGAATTTCTTTGGAGCGGAGAAGGCTCTTTCTCGTTCGTTGAATTAAAGGGTAAGACTTTGGCCTTTTTGGGTCGTTGAGAATTTCTTGGAGGGAGAGATGAGGGAGTAAACTACGATATTGCCCTTACTATGAATAACCAATACATTTTTGTGAAATTGTTGTATAAAATTTGTATTTATATTTCATAAAAAAAAATATTATTATTTATTAATAATTTATCAAATTATTATAAAGTTTCTGATCCTTTTTTTTAACAGAAAAAATATAGAATTTTTGACAGATTATGTAGATGAAAGGGTATAATACGGAAGTAATTATTTATTTAGTAAGTGGTCCAAATGTACGTTTTGGATTTTCTGAGCACTATGTCTCATTTCTATTTTTCATTTGAGATTAATATATAAAATTCTGTAAGATTCAGATGTGCGGTCCAAATGGACAATTTCGAGCACACTGGAGTTTAATGAGTTAACATTGAATAGTACTGACTACTGAATCTGAATCTACAATCATTTGAGTTTACTCTTTTCATTGAATTAAAATGGGTTACTTGTGAGCTGTAAACAATCCAAGGCCAAGTTCTCATAAGATCTTTCCGTACTAATTCTTTTCCCATGAGAAACAAATATTGAAAATTCATAACGATGAAAAATGGGTCGAAAAAAAAAAATTTGTACAGATCCCAGCTGGCTAGCAGATAGTATTTCTCGTAACATTAATATATGGTCGAAAACGTAGATGGACATCAAAATAATTCCCTTATATTTCTCGATTCATATTTCTCTCCAAATTGTTAAAGCCACAAAATTTGTAGGAGCTAAGGGCTATCCTTTGCATACGAAAATATATTTGCTATCCTATAAAAAATAATGATAGACACAAGTTGATAAGTAGAACAAAAATGGATTTGGCTTGGGCCTTGGTGTAAGTTTCCGCCTCAAGTTGAGAAGGCTGCGGTTTTGGTCGTTATAAAGCATGAATCTTCATCACGTGGGCTCCTCACTTATCTTAATTTGTTTTAAAATAATCATCGCCACATGATTTAAAACCTAAGTACCAAACCCTATCATGTGTTATGCTTAAAAAACTCAAGATTGCGAGAGATCGAATCATATAACTTTTCAAGAAACCTAGAGATGTATAAACTGTTTTCTTATTTTCTGTGTTGGGCACAAATACTTGATATTCGGTTTGTACTCGCTACTTAATTTGGTTCAGTTTGAAAAAAAACAATTACTTGTTACAATCAAGTCGAGTAGCAAATAAACGGAGTTTATTACTCGCAAGTACAAGTTAAGTATCAAGTTCATTTTTATTTTTTACTTGGCTTGTTACTTGTTTTGTTACTTGTTATCAGTTACATGTCCTATTATTTGTTATATATTACTTAGTTTATTAAATATTTAATATCCATTTTATTAGTTAATTAAAATTTATGTATTATATTTTATTGGTGACCATAATTACTGGTTGTTGCCTCTTATTTGATACTTGATGGATACATAATCTTTAAAAATTAATATTTGTTATGAATAAGTTAACTATCAAGTAATCTATTTAAATTACTTATAAATATAAATATTAAATAATTAATTACTTGATGTTATTTTGTTTGTTAGTTGTGTTTGTTAATGAACAAAGATATATTTTTCTAAATCATAGTATAATAACTCATTTATGTTCTCATTTTCATAAGTACATCAAACATAAATGCTAAGATTTATATAATCATCTTAAACTTTTCTTTTTCTTACATGATCCATTTTCCGAATGACTAAAATACAAAATAATAATAATCTATTATTTATATAATAAATTTATTTAAATTTAAATTCTAATGAACTATCAAATAATTTATCAATAATTATGAATGAATTTATAAGTAATTTACAAGTAACAAGTAATAAAATAAGTCAAGTAACTTACAAGTCCGTCAATTTTTTGCAAGTACATGAAACTACAAGTACTCGGTTTGTAAGTTTTTACAAACCAAGTACAAATAAAAATATTTACTACTCATATAAGCTAAGCCGAGTATTAAGTATACCAAAAATACCGAGTACTCGGCTTATGCCCACCCTACTTATTTTGTATCCATAAACCACGTGTGTAATCATAGTGTGTACACATACACATTCATTCACTCACATAAAAACTAACAAGCATGGGTGTTAGAGTCTCCAGGCCAACTTCGATTGGTTTTCATTGGATCCGCATCTTTGGGTAGATTTTTTTTGAATCCACTCGACTTGGTTTAAGGTCAGTTCGTATCAGTTTAGAATCATTTGAATCTCAGTTTTTACTTTTTGTTAGATATGTTAATATTAAGACAAATTTGATCTGGTCCGAGTATTTAAACCCTGTAATATATTTAAATTTGAAAATAGTTGAGCATCAAAATTTACCATAAAAAACAAAAACCTAAAAACCCCAAAAAAAAACACCCGTATATATGTCCAGAAATCTCTGCAAACAAATTAAATCATTTGAAATTTGCCGATATTACCCAAACTAGATCTTTTGGCCGCGCTATGCGCGGCAAGTATCTAAAACAAAACTTCCAATTATATTGTTTATATATATAATATATTATATAATTAAACTTATAATTAACAATAGAAGCAATAAAATGTTAAATTAAATAGAAAAATAAAACGATTGACAAAATCATTATAGAAAAAAAAAGAACCTAGTATGTAGCATCAAGGAAATATATGTATAAGACCATTTTCAATGGTTCATTTCTTTAATAGAGTTAGATTTTATTTCAATTGTACTAATGAAAAATAGAGTGAAGTTGGAATATTTAATTCTAACATTTATTTTATAATATAAAATAATGTGACGTTGGAAATGCTTCAAAACGGGAAGGAAATTTAGAGCATCTCCAATCCATAGCTATTTTTGTCTCTAAATGTTATAATAGAGGAAAATTAACTCCAACCTATCTCTATTTCTTTCTCTAAAAATTGAAATTTTATTTTCACATTTATATTTAGAGAAAGAAATAGTATTCTTTTATAATAGAGACATACTTTTATTTTCAAAACATTCATTTAAATTTTTACTATAATAATTATTATCAAAAATAAATATCTTAGTGAAATACACTTTATATAAATAGAAAAATACTTTTTATAGGCATATAGTTTTTAAAGAAATATTTGGTTTAAATATTGTCATAATTTTATAAAATTTTAAAATAAAATGGGTTAATTCTCAACTTTCACAAATAGAAAGTATTATTTGTAAAATAAAAACAAATATCAAGAATATTATTTTTAGATGAAAAAGTAAAAAAAAAAATACATTGGAAACAAAGTTATCTAAATTGTAGAGTTCCCCTATTTTAGAGGAGAAAATAGGAGAATACATTGGATAGTTTTACTGCAGTGATATAATGAGTATCTCGACTCTTTTGTATATATATATATGTTTCCTTTAAGTGCTATCAGAAACTGTGTCTCTGCGCTATACACTGATTATTATATAAAATATTATTATCAAAAGCAAAGGGAACAAGTTCTGAAAACGCACCGTTTTAGTAACCTTGGCGATTTTGGCGATCTCGAAGGCGACTGCACGATTCTCGATCTCCGCTGTCCATGGAGGCAGTAGAGAAGGTTACGATGGTGATTCCGGTGGATCCATTGCCGGAGATTAAGCCAAAGGAGAAGTCATGGGTAAAAGTAGCGCAGGGGAAACAAGTTATGAAGAAATACGATCTCTATATTTCGATCTCAGATGGGAAAAGATCAGTGGAGGTTCCGGCAGAGATTGTGGAGAAATCTAACCCTCTCTGGGATGACTTCGTGATTGCACGGTTTCTGGAAACAGCACCTCATATCGCGAAAGTTCACATGATAGTTAACAAGATTTGGGCCTTTGGGGAGACATCGCAGAAGCTGGAAGTGATTGTGATGGATGAGAAGACGATGCGGATCAGGATTACTAATGAGAAGATAAGAGACAAGGTTGTGAGAAGAGGTATGTGGAATATTGTGGGAGTACCAATGGTGGTATCAAAATGGTCGCCGGATGTTGAGGATTTGGATGAAAGCTTGTACCTCTCTGGGTTCATCTTAAAGGGGTACCTATGAGCATGTACTCTTGGGAGGGATTGAGTTTTATGACGAGTGCTGTGGGGGTTCCTGATCATCTACATCTTGAAACTATTGCGTGTACAAACTTCTATATGGCAAAGGTTTTTGTCAAATCAGATCTATCACGTGAATTACCTCAGAGGATTGATTTCACAATTCAAGGGGAGAAGGTTTCTGTGGACTTTATATATCCACGACTTCCAGCTCGGTGTGAATCTTGCAGCAGATGGGGTCACTATGCTACTTTCTGTAAAAATGGTAAGGAGGATAAGATAGAACAACCAAAAACGCCAGTGATGGGTTCTACAAATAAGGAAATGGAAGTATAAGGCACTGAGTCAGGAAGGGTGAATCAAGGAATGGGTACTGGTAAGGTTGGAGAGGTGATGATAGAAGCGATTGGTGGGAATAGTAATGATTTAGAGACAGGAAAAATGGAGGAAGGAGAAATAAATGATTGGCAAACTAAGTCAGAGAGAAATCTTGGGAGAAGCCCGAAGTCACAAAGCCTGAAATATGGCCAAGTGACGATAGCTACTCCATCCAGATTTACTCCACTTCAAAACATGGATGAGAAAGGTGATGAGATAGATACTGAGCAAATTGATGAGGTTGATGAAACGAAAAGGGAGGAAGTCGATGATATATTGCAGAGTATGGCAGTAGATAATGTTGACGAAGGTAAAAAAGGGAGAGTAAGGCAGATGCCACTGAGGCTCTCAAAGACGAATCACAGAGTGGTGTTTCCTGAAACTTCAGATCATGTCAAAGATATGAAAAGGGGTTCTAGGAAAAATCACTAATGGCAGGTTTCTTTTGGAATATAAGGGGTTTCAATAAACCAACTAAGCAGGAGGTGGTGAGAAAATGGTTGAGAGATCAATCACTTATGTTTGATTGTCTTATTGAAACAAGAGTAAAGGAAA